AACTACCGGAACCCAACAAAGTTAGTTTCCAGAAATGGAAATTTACAGTAAAGTATCATTGGTAGTTTCCATTGCATAAAGCAGCTGGAAACCATCATTGATGGGAACGCGAATGAAACGAACGTAGAGGAAATTACTCCATATATACCAGTATATACAGCATATATCTAGAAACCTACATTAACCTACGCTAAACTGTCTATGTATTCCATGTATATAAGTTTCAGTTTAGTGATCTCAGCGTTTTTGTACACCAGAATTCAAATAAAAGATACTGTCACATGAAACAAGATAAATTTCAGGAAAAGTTAAAACCATATTACGGATTCTACTTTGTCTCCTTTACGTTTTGTTAGGTACACACACAGATGCCTTAAACTTATAAATTACTGAAGAACCAGTAAGGCTCCATTAGGTTTCAGTTACCCATTGGCTTTCCATTTGTAACTTTTTCTCAAAGTGATACATACTAATACAACTAACTGGGAGCGGTTATGCACATTACACATAACTGTACTAAAAAGGACAATAGTATTGTAATTGTTGAATAAAGAACATAATACAGGCCACAACAAATAACACAGTGGACTTACAGAATTAAAATATTTTTAAGTTTAACTTCATCTGCCAGTGGTGAAAAATGTTAGGATTGAAAGAAAATGAAGTCAATGAACGTTTTGCCTTTTAATTATAGCGTTATCATTATTGATCCATTATCATATTTATAAGCACTTTGGAACCTCATAAAATTATAAAATGGCTTTCTAGATGTGTCATAGAGTACCTAAAATATAAGGGAATCAGTTTACAACCTGAAAAAACTAAGAGATCTTGTTGGGTACGCCCCTGGATTGCCAGAAGAGGAGAGGTGGGGGCTTATAAATCATTAGTACATGTTTGTGGAAAGATTTGTTGAATGCTGCAAGAAAAATAAAAACAAAAAACAGATATCAAACTTAAAACCAAATAACGTTATAACAAAACTAATGGGCTATTACCTTGTTCGAGAAAAGTATCCATCAGTATCCACATAATGGAACGATATGCCATTCATCTGCAGCTGCCCCAAAAAACTGTTCCATGTCACGTGACCGGGTTTCATTGGACAAGTTTTTACATAATGTCCACAAACTGGATTATATAATATCATTTGTACCGGTTTATACACTTCCTGATACCAGTTTAAGACACCCTGAGTCACCTAACTGACATGATGTGCTTCATATTATCACATCGCTATATACCTGTAATAGAATAACTTTCCTTATCGCATGTCATTACCTATCACCGTAATGTGCCATTATCTAATTAGAACAAGTGCCGCTCTCAAGTATAATTGTTGGACATAACTTTCTCAGTGCAAGAACTTCATTTTTTCCCCCAGAAACTCTAACAGCGACTGAAGAATCTAGCTGGACAGAGAAAAGAACACAGAAGGTGGCTGCACTCCTAACCCCAGAATTGACATCGCCAGTGGTGTCTGACGCTCCAGAGGCAAAAATACAGAACTCGCTACACCGTCCAACAAGATGCTTTCCAACCACCTAAGGGTCTTAGGGATAGGATGGAATGTCTAAATGTACATTCATTTATCTCCTGTAGTCACCCTGTTTATGAAAGAACATCTACATTTGTTGTTTCTGAGACTAAGATTAAAAAGAAATTAATGTCCCTCATATTAAAAAATGCCAACCCCTCCATAATATTTATTTGAACAAACTACTACTCAGACAAAATTTCAAATCCATAGGGCCTGTGATGACACCATTCTCTCTCTCTCTCTCTGTGATTTGTGACAATGTTTAATTGTAACATTGAAACATAGACATTATATGTTTATGATGAATAAAGAGAAATCGACTGACTGTCTGATTTTGTATTTATTTATTTCTATGTCCATGTGGTGCTGAGGTAATTGTAGTTGAAATGAGTTTATTTTATATTTGAATGTATTATGAATAAAATATATGACATAATACATTCAAATATATAATACACTCATTTCAACTACAGTTAATATAGTTGAATAATCATAATTTAATATTGACATATGGTAATCACTGAATACTAATAATTGAAACCAAATGGAGCCATACAGATTCTGATTTACTGAAACTTATGGAACATGGTTAATGTGATTAATAGAAACGAAAATCACAGGGAATAAATGAAAACATCTGAAAGTAGAGGATAAGGGAAACCCAATGGAACCTCATAGGAATCTGCGTAACGGAAACTCACTGGAGCCACACAGGAATCTGGGTAACGGAAACGCACTGGAACCCTACAGGAAACTAGGTAGCGGAAACGCACTGGAGCCTTACTGGAATCTGGGTAACGGAAACGCACCAGAGCCTTACTGGAATCTGGGTAACGGAAACGCACTGGAGCCTTACTGGAAACTAGGTAACGTAAAAGGAATGGAGCCATACTGGAAACTGGGTAACGGAAACGCACTGGAGGCATATTGGAAACTGGGTAATTTGTAAGTTTCCGTTTTCCGGAAACTTGAAGGAATGTAGAGAAACAGTCCGGAAACCTAATGGAAACTTAAGTTTCCATTTTGTTTCCGTTAGGTTTCCGGTGTCCGGAAACCAAGTTATTTTTGCTGTGATTATGTGCTTTCCTTTCAATTTGCTGCTTGTAAATAGTACCAATATCTTACATTTTAAGTCCAGAAATTTTACTTACTGTGTTAACAATTTTGGAAAGAATACCTTGATTTTGAACAGACAGACCCCCATACCAGCAATGTACATTGAAAATTAAACTACTTTGAATATAAGACTTGTAGAACAACGACAATATGGTTGTGTCAATCTCAAAATAACGAAAGCGACGTAAAGAGTACAGCCGCGACAGTTCTGTCTTGTGTATGTCATCATTATTATTGTCCCAGGTGAGCATTGGATCTATCACTGTGCCAAGATACTTATATTCCTCAACTCTATCTATGGTTTCGCTAACAATGGCAATTGGCAACAGGTCACTTTTACTTTTCAGAAAATCAATAACCATCTCTTTTGTTTTCTTAACATTTAATTTAAGGAAGTATATTTTACATCAATCAAGAAATTTTGTGATTTCAGAGCCATAGTCATTCGCCGAGTGCTTTATAAATCCAGCGAATGCGGCGTCATCTGCGAACTTTACAGTTAAACGTTGTGAAAACTTACTGATACAGATATATAAAAAAACGGGGAAAGAACATGACCTTGCGGGGCACCAGTGGATATGAATGTTGTTTCTGATTGGGTGTTATTAACAGTTACAAACTGTGTCTGTTTACAAGAAAAGATTCTATCCATTTTATAACACATGAGTTGATTGACATATTACAAAGCTTTTGCATTTAAATATGAATTTGGATGGTATTAACAGCTGAAGAGAAGTCGGCAAACAGAGTTTGTATGTAGGAATGGGAAAGTTCTAAAGTTTGTAAATATTGTTTGATAAAGTGATGGTAGCGTCCTCGACAACTCGCCCAGCCTGTGGGCAAACTGAAGAGGGTCGAGAAGGTTCTCTGTTTCTTGCAGGAGTAAACGCTTTCAATTCTTTCCAAAAATTTCGTAGGTATAGGCGTCAAAGCAACTGGACGGAAGTTATTATCAACGGTGGGCGTGGGGATATTAGGTACTGGGGATTTTAGGTACTAGCCTATCTAGTCCAACCCTACATTCAACTGTGTGTTAGACCTCTTTATGAGGATCTGTAAAACAATAAGCATTCTCTTTTCTGTCCATTGTTATCTCTCCTTGACAATTGGTTAGGCCAGAAGTCGACCTAACATTAACATCTTTTAAAACAATCAGAAACTAATGAATTACAATATAAACAAGAATTGAAATCCTTATTTACAGATGGGCCCACGGATGGTGGCGCAGTGCCTTGTGCCACTGTCACTGGATCCAGAATAATATCTTCTAGAATACCGGATAACAGGTAAATGTTTACACAAGAAGCCAAAGCCATATTAACAACCCTAAAATATATTAATAAACACCTTAAATATAAACAATATATAATCTTTTCTGACTCTCTTTCTTGCCTTCAGGCTATTAAAAATCTTTCTTGCAAACATCCACTTTTAATAGAATATATTGAATTAGATAATGATCTTGCAACTGGTAAGTACAACATCCTCTTTTGTTGGTTACCCAGCCACGTTGGCATTTCTGGTAACACAATGGCCGATTTTGCTGTTAGGGCAGCACTCAACAAATCTGTGACTCCACTTCTTATTCAATATTCTGATCACAAAGCTATCATTAGATCTTATATCCGTGATCTGATGCAGGAGAAGGGGGGACACCCAGGTACATGTAGGTATCAATAAATTACATCAAATTAGACCAACTCTCGATTACACCTACTTGGGTTTTCAGTCAAGATTTGGCGAGGTCATTATGCGACGATGTCGCATTTACCATACTAGATATACTCATGAGCATTTGTTCAAAAGGCGAAGATCCTCCATTTTGTATCCTTGTGATGAAAGAATCACGGCCAAGCATGTCCTGCTTGACTGTATTGAGTTTCCCATCACAAGGTATAAATATTTCAGTGTCCAAACAATTAAGGATATTTTTTATAACGTAAATTATCTTTAAATAATTGACTTTTTTTTAAAGAAATAGAATTATTAGATAACTTCTGATAATGTGTTTTGTGAATGGATATTGGTATTTAAATATGTAGATTAAATTCGTAACTGAGATTTGTAGGTACTATATCCTCGAAAGGGATTAAAGTAGTGTAAAATTAATGTCCCCACGAGAAGATATGTAGGACCAATTCTTCCAAAGTATATTTAATCTCACCACATTTTTAATCGTAGAATAAATGTTTTTTATTGTATGGCTAGATTTGTCGAAATTGTTAGCAGCTGAAGGAATGATGTAAATCCAGCTAGGGTCCATGCAGGTAACGCATGGTCCCTAGTATAGTGATCTACCTTCAGTTGTTGGCGATTACTAGCCAATTTTTACATTTTCAATATATACCCTGTTTTTATGTTGTCTTGTGATAAATAATTAAAATGTTATAGATAATATTACTAGTTTCACATTTATATCTGTTATATTCTGGTTGTTCTACTTCCTTAGTTGACAGAATTTTATAATTTACCTTTAATTATTATTACTCTATACCTTGATTGAGTCACGATAGGACTGAAGTATTGCTAAAGTGACTTTAAATTTTAACTCACTCACTCACCCCCACTGTTATCTATAACTATGTATGTGTTCCTATCAATACTGTCAAACAGTCCGATCTTCCGACTGTCTGTGCAAGGACGACTGCGAGCAGGATAAAGCCACTCTTAGGAAACGCCTTGAGGATAAAACATTGTTCCTCGATAGGGTCAGTTCCACTGAAACAAAGACAGTCTGAAGTGGCCTCCACACATCTGGCTACTGTTTCCTACACATGGAGTATTGCAGTCCCCTTCGTTCTGGACAGTGTACTTAACATCGTCATTGGAGTTTCCACAGAAACAATGCCTAGTAGCCTGAAAGAAAATGTTCGTATGTTACTGTGTTGACTTGCGTATAAAATAAAAATAGCATTTCACATTCATCATAGTGGCAAGTGACAAGTTTATTTGCATTTAAGGCCACTTGGCTCATAGTGCTACACACGAAATACATGCACAACGTGCGCTGCTTCTACAGTTGTATAATTTGTCAGTTTATCTTGGAAGATTCCTTGTCAAATACAAAGATACATTTTTGATAACTGAATGATTTGTGAATGACATAAGCTGTTATCAGTGGAGATATCACTATAGTAGATTAATGCCAATTTGCAAGTAATCTCTTGATATTTTCTAGTCTCTTTCTGGTACTGATCATCCACAGTCTAAATATGCATTTTATTGAATGCCAAGTACTTCACCACGAATCCAGTCTATAGTAACAGCTTCATATATACCATTCACAGCTTGTAAAGGATCAAATCATTGATTGAACAGGAAAATGTGATGTGGGGTTTAATTTGGTTTAGATATCTAAGCTTATTGTAAGCATGGATCCGATATTTCAGTATGTGACTGCATCTGGTAGATCCTTTACCTGCTATCGACAGATGTTGTGTACTTGTCCATGACCTGTGTCATGATTTGCAAAATTGTTGATTGGTGCCATGAAAACCATTTTTACGCTTACTCATGTATCAAGTGCATAAGGTTAGAATAAAGTGGCTGTTTGCCAAAAGAAGGGTTACCATATTATTATTTATCCAGTTTTAATGAATACAATTTCATGTTTAAATACAGTTAATATGCTTTCCAGTCATTGACCCAAGCCATATTGCCTTAGCTTTATCTGAATTCTAAATTGTAGTAAAAGGTTTCAGAAGTGTTTACTGCAGCTCTTAGGCTTCTTTTCTGAGCTATCCAAAATAGCTGTGTATCATCGGTATACTGTCTTAATTTATGTTCTGTATTTTTTAAATAAATGCCTTTAATCTTAGTTTTGTCTCTAATCATAGTAGCAAGTATTTGTGCAGCAAAAAAGAAATAAATATGGGGAGATAGTGCCCCCTGTCTACAGTCTCCACCGTTGTCAAAGAATGAAGAACGATGGCCGTTTTGTATGACACAAGAGGTTGCATTGCTTATCAAAATGTCTACTCACTTTATCATCTCAGGACCAAAGCCAAACCTTTCCAGAATTTTAAGCTTAGCGTTTTTCGACACAGAATCAAAGGCTTTTCAAAGTCTATAGAAAGTAACATACCCTTTCTTCTTAAAATTTGTTTCCAGGATATTGTCATATATTATTCTTATGTTACTTATGTTAACTGCTAAAGAACTCCCTGGAATAAATCCTGTTTGATTTGTATGTATCAGAGAGTCCCAAAACAGTCTTAGTTGTATGTAAGTCTATAATCAGTCAACTAAACGAAATAATAATAATTGTTATTATGTAATATTTATATAGCGCACATATCCAGGCAACTAGTGAATGCTCAAGACCGTTTATGGCTCACGTCACTCAAGCGAGGCCCTCCCTGTGCATGAACATTTTATGCGTTTGATACACAAGATGTAGTGACGGTTTTGTGCACTGATAGAACTAACCACTCGCATAGTTCGTTTTGCTTAAACCGGGATGTGTCCCGTGATGGTTAGATATTGCCACTGCAATGCAAAGCTGATTTCTCTCTCGCTTGCAATTGATTTGTGTTGTGCCAGGTGTTATTGGTTAAATATCGCAAAGTCGATCTGTTTTGTTTTGTTGGTTAGAGATGGCCACCGCAATGGAAATGTGTTTCCCTCTCCATTCAACTGGGGTGTATAACATTATATTAGTTAAAGGCAGCGACTACACTGCAAAACGGTCTTTTGTATTCCCAGGTGATGTGGGGTAGTGACTCCTACGAAATACCGATCAGAATTCCCTGGGTCTTGACAGATTAGATATACTTTCCGGGGAGAGTTACGTTCAGTGTCAGCGTCCAGGGTACAGAGTACTGACCTCTAGTCCTGCAAGAAGATAGTTGCCCTGTCTGCAGTGAGTCAGACACAACTCGTAAGTCATGGAGTCGTCCACGATGTGTTCGTCGTTGATCAGTCTGTCCAAGTCATCCAGGTAGCATCCCAGGTACACATACCCTGCAAACAGATCAGCGTTGGGTGACATGTAGCGCTTACTTCTTACATACTGAAACAAATGGAAGCTTCTATTCTTAGCGTGGTGTTTATTCCCGCATATATTCAACAATATGTCCACTAAATGACAAGAGCTAGTAAATAATCGGATCTGGAACAAACAGTCCATGATCTCGCCTCTTACAACACGTGGCTAACATCCCAAAGTCATTATGCAAGTTATGAGCTATTTAATATATAATATGATATGAGGTGAGGTGAGGTGAAATTGGGTTTTACGTCGTGCTTGAGAATATTTCGCTCATATGACGACTTGCATGCGTGTGTATGTGTATGTGCGGCTGCTTGTACTAGCCCAGACTTAAGCTGGTTCTATAGTGCTAGCCCACTGAGATACCATGTCGCAGTGAAGCATGAATACCCCACTCAGACACATTATAACCCCAGACTCCGAGCCGACCAGTCCTTGTTGTTCCCATTAATGCCGAGCACCAGGCAGGGATCAACAAGTACCATATTTTAACGTCTTTTGGTATGACGCGGTCGGGGATCGAACCGCGACCTTCCGCTCTCTTGGCGTACGCTCTAACCACTACACCACGGAGACGGTCGATAATATGATATGATGGTTACAGTGTGTTAACTAGCAGATTAGCTGAATGACTATTATGATAGGGTGGTTATAGTGTATTAACTTGTAGAACTGGAATTCGATCCACCACACAGATTTCACACTATTTATCTCAGTCGTGTTTCTCACTCATAGGTGAGTGAAAAAACTATATGCAAGAATAGAGGTTGGCAATCGTGATTTGACATGAAATGTATCCAGAAAACACATCTACAAAGACAATAATATATTTACATTCTAACAAGATTCTTATCTGAACCGTAAGAAATATATTACTTAATGAATTAATGAGGTGCATTTCCTTATGACTAACCGTGTTTGGTGAAGGTTCTTGCACCGGGAGCTGGAACATCAGATGTTGACACCGATGAATTGTAGAGGAGGCACTGCCCTACATGATGTGTCAAAGAAGCGCATGTGTAATCCTGGGCACAGAGTATCCCACAACCCAGCTGACTCTCCATGTGAAGGACGGTGGATGGGGTCTCTCCAGACTTTTTATCATTCAGAGTGTTTTGTCTCACAAAGTAATGCCTCAGAGCATCCCCCTGCGCGATGAGGACTGAAATGAAGAGAGAGGGGACAATCACCAGCTTCTTCAGCATTTTGCACAGAAGTGTAACCAGCTATGGATGTATTTACAACAACCGGTATCAGTCCTGAAACGGTTTCTCTTCTACTGATATATGAGACTGGTCATAGATTACATGGATGCTCCCAACCCTTTCTCCATCACTAATTGGATGTATCAACCAATCCCTGATCAGCACAATGGACCGTGGCGCATCGATCTATACACACAGAACTTAATTAAGCGCCCCTGTATTTTTATAATGATACTTTTTCAACACGTACATAAAACTTCTCGTGTTGACCACGATGGAGCTCTTCAGTCTCGTATGATCCTTTGACTCATAAAAAACGACAAAATGTTTGTAATCCATGGTAATTTTATGATGATAATTGCTCATTAAAAGAAACCCACTTATTTTCATACAAAACAATGCCTGTGAAGGTATGACCCTGGAATGTTTAATGTTGACTATATTGGTGAATGTAATCATTCAAAATATCATTTTGCGTGTCTTACATGATTCAAGGTCAATACGAGTGTAACCTCCATGTGACTGTATGACAGCCAGCACTCTCCTCCTCATACCCCCTGTCAGCCACCTGATCCTCTTAAGGGACAGTCTACGCCATCCCGCGTGTAAAGCAGCTTCCAACTGGGCCAGGTTCTGTACAGGAGGATCCTTTTTTTGCACACAATCATGCCCCATATATGCTCCAAAGTGTTAAGATCGGTGCTCAATTAATCGTGAGATCTGTCCGGGCGTGCTTACCTACGTTCTTTGTGAATATAGGTGAAAGCATAGATGAGTCTATTATGAAAAACCCCGCAAGAGTACATATATTTAAAGCTGAGATAACAGTAAGTAAAATATTAACGATCCGACAATGTCATAAAGATCACTGCTATGGTCACAAAAACTGCACATCTCTCAAGTGAGATATGTTACAATATGTGTACCTCTGAAGGATATTGTTGATATGTTATGGAGTGATTAAGTGAGTTAAAAATTAACATTTCAGCCATATAGTTACAGATATGTTAAATATAAGAAATATTGGCCACAAAGAACAGTAAAACATTAGCAAGATATCACAATTTGAGTACAAAAATTAACCATTTCAAACAGTAAAACATTTTGTTAACACAAAGACCATTATGGCGTTTAATACCATTACTATACGAGCTATAGACCACATCACCGGGGGGTAAGGGGACTTACTGTACTTCGGCTTCATGCATGAACCCACAGCAGGATTTAAACCACCAATTTGGTAAATGGTAGTCGTAGATAATTAATGCGTTATTGACAACTACAACTAATACAAATCTAGTTACCGCCCAGTAGAGAGAGAAAAAAAGATATAATTACAGAGATATGCAGAGCCCCTTAAATGCTTGGGGCTAAATAACAGTGACCTACATCCAGCTACCAGTGTTATGATATGGCAAAGAATGATTCTGAAAACCAGTTTTTATGGGTGTGAACCATTGTTTGACATTAAAGGGCAGCAATTTTGTTTGCTAGAAAACACACAGCGGTACTTTGCCTGCACTGTCCAGGGACTAGATAAGAGATCTCCGTCTGAATCCACTATTGCAAACTTAGGACTGTGGACCATGATTGGCTCCAGTTTTTTGCAACACTAGTTGTGACAATCTCATACAACATCTCATGATTATGTACTTCCATGGCTAATACGCCCCGAAAATCAAGTATTTGTGGAGGTCTTCATTCTGTTTTCTGCAAATACAACCTGTCTTCTGCAAACTACTTATATACTTACTTATACAGTGGTTCATTGCCCCCCAAACACCAGTGGAGACGAATTATAAACAAACACGTACAAGAATATGAAGAACACATGTTGCGTAACAAAGTATCACTTAATGCAGGACTGTCTCGTTACCTGCGAGCTCATACATTACTATCATATCACATAACATGACATAATAATGTTTGAAAATTCCATCTGAAAATAAAATATCAAAAGAATGTTTGCTTTGTAACAAGCACACTTATCATTATGACAACCATGTGATACCACACAGTAAAAAAATATTACCCCTCCAAAATAACTTTTTCTCATTCTGATTGATCTAGTTGATGTTGAAACCTATGTACATTTTGAATCGTTGGAAGGCGACGAAATGCTGTCAACTCTCCAAGGTGCAGATACACAGTTCACACGATCCCTAGTGCGGGACACATACCATGATGTTATTATAAACTTAGCAAAATATATCTATCATTTGAAACCATATCTTGAGTTTGTATTTTAATGGAAACAATCTGTGTACATGTGGCGCTATCCCTTTGTGAATGCTTGCTTATATTTCTGTACATATCAATTTTCAACTAATTTATGAAAGACATTGTCGTGTATGTAAATACTAATGTGTTTTACGTTTGACTGAATTCATGTATCAATAATCTTCGGATTGATTTCTGGAGCAAATAAAGAATCTTTCTCTCTCTCAAACTTAGTTTCCGCCCAGAAGAGAGAGAGAAAAAAGATATAATTACAGAGATATGCAGAGGTGAAAGAAATACCTGTAATGTTGGTTCAGATGCTAAGTGAGTTTAAACTTAACGTGGTATCGGCAGTATTCCAGCTTTATCGTTACAACAGAAGCTCACACACGAGGAATAAATGCGTTCATACTATTGTGAAACAGTTGTTAAAGAACCAGATTGTCACATATTTGTAAAACTAGTTTTTGAGCATTTATAATGTTGAGCACTCACTTTAATGAACACGAGATAAAAGGGGTCCAGAGAAATATTTGAAATATGCTAGACTGCGATTCTTTCATCACAAGGGATACAAAACGTTGTATCCTCGCCTTTCAATAAAATATTCATGAGTACATCTCGAGTGGCCAATATGACATGGCCGCATGATGACCTCTTCAAATCTAGACTGACAATCCAAGTAAAAAATGGTTGTAAAAATACAATTTCGTGTAATTTGTTCACAACTACTTGGGTGTCACACTTCTTTTGCAAGAGATCCCCCATGAAGCATCTCGATTTTTGATAACCGTTTTACTGTAGCATCAGCTCTTGGGTTAGCCAGTGGCAAGATGATGTCCAGGTTGGATCCATTGAGTGAGACATTGCCAGCTTTGAACATTATGGCAAGACATAGCCACAAACGATTCCGGTAACAAGGCATGTTCAAACTGGATCCTTATAAAAAAGACTGCCAAAATGAATCTCTGCAATAAAGGATAACCACATTAGATCCAAATAATAAAAGATGACTAGATTGGACTCCTATAATAAAATATGTCCAAATTGGATCCCAATAGTAAAAGATGGCTAGATTGGATCCCTATAATAAAAGATTGCCAGATTGACCCCTATAATAAAAGAGACAACTCTCAGCAAATCAAGACCTGTCAGGCATTCATTTTAAAAATATTTAAAATGGGGTCGAAAGGTCAAATACTCATAAAATATTAAACCTAAGAATTTCGCTTCCTTGCATCTTCTTCCTATGGCATAAAAGTATTAAAATCATCCACGAAAAGTGATCCATCAATTGAATCATTTAAACTTTTGATAAAGTGTTAGTCCTAATAATAAACAATGTGACAGACAAAATAGTGCCTTGAGGGACACCCTGAACCTGTTTAGAATGATCAGACAGGGTCTGGCATTCCATCGATCTGCAGGATGAAGCTCGAGAGACAGCTGAAGTGTATGTTGAAATATCCTGCTTTTTATGGATTATGTAAGATCGCAAGAGAAAAAGTGAACACATAGGTGTTGGTTGGAAAAATATGTTCTCCATTCGTTTGACGGAAATGACATGTTGTTCTGCAAGTTCTTTCAATATTCCATCTTCTGACATTTCCCGACAGCGGGTTTTGTCGCGGATGATTCCCGACTTGAAGTCAGAAAGCAGTGCATTTTAACAGCTTGCTGTCTCCGTGAACACTCAACCAATGGAGAGGCGTCACGGAGTCTTGAAACATTCTTCACCTCACGACAGATGCCTTCAATAGCTTGCAGATAGCAAAGGGATTTAATTCCAACGAATGGTTATTTTTGGATTCAACTACCCGAAAAATCACATGAGAAACTTAGCTTCCAACGTTGTTTTCTTTTCATCACGAGTTATAACAGAATTAGTTGGAGCCATGGTAATGTCAGTGTGATTCAACAACGTTAACTCTGTTCCCCACCCACCAGGGACAGCGTTACAGTGAACCGGACCTGTGAAGATCCGGGGTAGAATAGCTCTTCAGCAACCCATGTGCTTGCCATAAAAGGCGACTATGCTTGTCGTAAGAGGCGACTAACGGGATCAGCTGGTCAGTTTCGCTGACTTGGTTGACACATGTCATCGGTTCCCAATTGCGCAGATCGATGCTCATGCTGTTGATCACTGGATTGTCTGGTCCAGACTCGATTATTTACAGACCGCCTCCATAAAGCTGGGATATTGCTGAGTGCGGCGTAAAACTAAACTCACTCACTACAGTGAACCGGATCTCCATGATGCGAACACAAGGGATACAGGATTGTTATACTTCAGCTGGCATGACACAAATATGCAATATTTCTGCACCAATTTCAGTGTCAAGTTAATTGTGCCCCATGACGCGATATATATTGAATTTGGAGGTTAACGTCACCAGCTTGCAAAATTGTCATGTATGAGATTAATAACTACTTAATTCAATGGTGCAAAAGATTGGAACATAAATGTACTACATGCACAGGGCATGTCAGGACTAGCCGATTGACTGAAACAGGCCCATTCTACCATCCGTCTAGGTTAAGTAAGGGTCCACTTTCTTGCATGTGTCTTTCATGTGCCCCTGACCATGGATGGATGAATTTTGAAATTTCCAATGAAAGATGTCAGTGTGACTGTTGTTATCAGTGGTAAAAACGGACAGATAGTTGTTCTGACATTGTGTTTGGCGATCTATAGCCTGTTTTTATATTGTATTGTCCAAAAAGTGCTATAGGTTTTAACTCTCCACACTAGTTTTAGTTGTAATTGTGATATTCTAGTTGTTTTACTGTCCTTCGTCGACAGGTTTTTATAACGTACATATATTCCATTTCAATGTCAAATGTTCT